CCATATATCAGATAAGGGGTTAATATCCAAAATATACAAAGAACTCATGCAGCTCAACAACAAAAAAACCAACAACCCAATTAAAAAATGGGCAAAAGACCTGAACAGAGATTTCTCCAAAGAAGATATGCAGATGGCCAAGAGGCATATGAAAAGATGCTCAACATCATTAGCTATCAGGGAAATGCAAATCAAAACTACAATGAGATATCACTTCACTCCAGTCAGAATGGCTATCATTAACAAGACAGGAAACAACAAGTGTTGGAGAGGATGTGGAGAGAAGGGAACCCTTGTTCACTGCTGTTGGGAGTGCAAACTGGTGCAGCCACTATGGAAAGCAGTATGGAGTATCCTCAGAAAATTAGGAATAGATCTATCATATGATCCAGCTATCCCACTGCTTGGTATCTATCCAAAGAACTTGAAAACGCAAAGGCATAAAGATACTTGCACCCCTACGTTCATTGCAGCATTATTCACAATAGCCAAGACTTGGGAGCAACCTAGGTGCCCATCAGGGAACGAATGGATAAAGAAGATGTGGTATTTATACGCGATGGAATACTACTCAGCCATAAGAAATGATGAAATCCGGCCACTTGTGACAACATGGATGGGCCTTGAGGGTATTATGCTGAGTGAAATAAGTCAGAGGGAGAAAGTCAAATACCGTATGATCTCACTCATAAGTAGAAGATAAAAACAACAACAAACAAACACATAGCATTGGAGATTGGATTGGTGGTTACCATAGGGGAAGGGGGGAAGGGGGAGGGCAAAAGGGGTGATTAGGCTCACATGTGAGAGGATGCACTATAATTAGTTTTTGGGTGGTGAACATAATGTAATCTACACAGAATTCAAAATATATTATGATGTACATCCAAATAAATAAATAAATAAGCTTAAAAAAACGAAATTTAAAAAAAAGAAAAGAAAGAAATACCAAGAAAATCATCTCAAATGTTTAAACCACAACAAAAATGAAACTATGTGAGGTGAGATAGGTTAATTAGTTTGATTGTGGTAATCATTTCACAGTGTATATGTTTATCAAAACATCACTTTATACATCTTAAATATATATAATTTTTATCTTCCAATCACACCTCAATAAAGCTGGAAAAAAATAAAATAAAGTACTTAATCCTAAAAGAAAGAGACAAAGGTGGACACTGTATATTGATAAAAGAGTCAATCTAGCAAGAACATGTAATAGTTACAAACATGTATATACCTAACAAGAGAGCTCCAAAATATAGGAAGTAAAAACTGACAGAACTGAAGGAGAAAATACACAGTTCTACAATAATAGTTGAATATTTTAATACTTCATTTTCAATAATGGATAGAACACCAAGACAGAAGATCAATAAGGAAAAGGAGGATTTAGCAACACTATAAACCAACTAGATGTAACACACATGTATGGAACACTCCACCCCCAAACAGCAAAATACACATTCTTGTCATGTGCACACGAAACATTCTCCAGTATAGACCATATGTTAGGCCACAAAACAAGTCTCAATAAATTTAAAAGATTTGAAATCATACAAAGAATCTTCTCTGAATTCAGTGGAATAAAACTAGAAGTCAGTAGCTGAAGGAAAACTATAAATTCACAAATATGTAGAATTGAACAACACACTCTTAAACAACCAATGAATTAAGAAATCACAAGAGAAATTAAAAAATACTTTGAGATGAATGAAAATGAAAAACAACATACCAAAATTTATGGAATGTATAAAGCAGTGCTCAGAGGAAAATTTATAGCTATAAACACATTATAAAAGGAGTAACATATCAATTCAATATTCTTTATACCTTAAAGAATCAGAGAATGACGAGCAATCTAACCCCAAAGTTAGCAAAAGTAAATAATGAAGATTAGAGCAGGGGTAAACTAAATAGGGAATAGAAAACAATAGGGATAATCAATACAACCAAAAGTGGGACTTTGAAAAGATCAAGAAAATTGAAAAACCTTTAGCTAGACTGACCAAAAAAAAGGGAGAGAGAGAAGACACAAATTAGTATATTGGAAATGAAAGTGGGACATTACTAACTAAATCAAGAAGAAATAAAAAGCCTGAATATATCTATAATAAGAGATTATATTAGTCAAAAATCTATCAACAAAGAAAAAAAAACTTGTCTAATACCAAATACATCCCAGTCTATCACCAATTGTCCCACTCAAAATACATTTACTGACTCGTTGCATTGTAATTCTTAGAAAGGCTTGGTTAGTGCCAGAAATAAGGCATCTGGGCATGACATCTTTATTCCAAACCAAAGCCTACTTGAATAATCCGCAAGGTTTTCATCACATACAAGCAGTAACAACTCTGTCTCTGCCTTTTAAGCAGATATAGTATACCACAAGAAAGTTGTATTCCCAAGGACATCCCAAAAATTAAAGGGCCGCCCCAAGGTGCTAATTTTAATTATCAAAATTAAAAAGAATTGTTTAAAAATTTATACTGAGTTAGTCAGTATAACTGTTCTTCTAAGAAAACAAAATAACAAGTTGTTTTTATATTAAATTTACATTATTTAATTACTATTTTATAACATTGATCTATAGCCTTTTGGTTGGGAAAATTCTTAGTTCTCTGCATCTGTCCAGTTCATTGCAGAACCCTTAGCACACCGGGCCCCCACTCATTAAATGCCCATAGTGCACCACACTTATTATAAAAGGCAAAAGTGCCCCTACGTATTTCTACATACCCCCAGCTAGGTACTCAATTCTCACTCTACTTGAGAAAGACCTACCATAAAAACGCACCACTAGGTATGGTTCTTAAAATACAGTGTTTGGGGCCGGCCCGGTGGTGCAGTGGTTAGGTTCGCACGTTCTGCTTCTCAGCAGCCCGGGGTTCGCCGGTTCAGATCCCGGGTGCAGACATGGCACTGCTTGGCAAATGCCATGCTGTGGTAGGCATCCCACGTATAAAGCAGAGGAAGATGGGCATGGATGTTAGCTCAGGGCCAGTCTTCCTCAGAAAAAAAAGAGGAGGATTGACGGTAGTTAGCTCAGGCTAATCTTCCTAAAAAAAAATACAGTGTTTGAATTTATACATTTCTAATTTTTAGAGTTAGATACATTTAAAATATCTTAAATATTTTATTAATTTATTTGTTTTACTATTTTACTGATGTATAACATACATACTCTACTCCCAGAATTAAGTTGTCAAGACTACAGTTTAGTGAATTTTTACCTATATGTACACCCAATGTAATCACTATACGGGTTAAGATCTCGAATATTTCTAACACCTCAGGAATCTCCTTTATACCCCTTCCCAATCAATCTTCTCTCAGAGGTAACCACAAATCTGACTTATATCACCATAGACTAGTTTTGCCTGTTTTCAAACCTCACAAGAAAAGAACCATAATATGCACTGTTTTATGTAAGCCTTTCACTCAATATAATGTTTTCAAAATTCATTCATGTTGATGCATGTTCCAGTTTTCCATTCCCTTTTACTGCTGTAGTTATTCCTTTTATCACAGTTGGCTTATTCATTCACCAGTTGAAGGACGCTTGGGTTGTTGTTTTTTTCTATTATGAATAAAGCTTCTATGAACAATCTTGTACATGTCTTTTGGCATACACACACACACACTCATTTCTCTTGGGCATATAACTAGGAATGTAATTGCTGAATCATAGGGTAGGCATATGTTTAACTTAAGTGGATAAGTCCAAAAACTTTTCCAAAGTGGTTGCATAAATCTACACTCCCACCAAGATCTTCTGTTCATCAGAATGCATGATAAAGGAAGTACAAAGGAAAGCCACAGACTGGTAAAAAATATTCAATGAAGGACTAGTATCCAAAATATGTAAAAAGTTCCTACAAATCAATACAAAACATGACAAACAGCCCAATTCTTTTTTAGCGGACAAAAGGCTTAAATAGGCATTTCACAAAAAGATACCCAAATGGCCAATAAACTCATGAAAAGGTGCTCAATGTCATGAGTAATCAGGGGAGTGCAAATTAAAATCACAAGAAGATACCATAACACACTAACTAGAATAGTTAAAATTTAAAAGATTGGCAGGATCAAATACTTCTAAATGATTTAAGAAATTGGACTTGTAAAAGAAACTGTAAATACTTGTTGTTATCCAGCACTTACACCAATCTTGTGAAGTAGGTATTATTTCCTTTATTTTACAGATGAAGAAACAAAGACTGAGAGTGTCTCATTTTCCAAAGTGATCTTTTTAGCTATTAAGTGGCAGAGATAAGGTTTAAACCCAGAAAATCTGACCATAGCTCCTTCTCTTTTTCACCTCTGCATACCCTTTGGCCCAGACAGAAGAAAGCTTTCAGGTCTGTATTACTTTGGAAAATCATTGGCATATCTTTTGCAAGATTAGCAAAGCTTGGTGCAAACATGGCCACAAGCTCTATACCAGACTAAAAATATCTGACATAGTAAGAATATCTGCATTTCTACTCATTTGCAAGATTAAAATATGCAGACAATGTTGCAAGCAGTCTCCTCCAGCTTTTCCAAGAGTGTTACCTATGAAAAATACTCACAACTTAATAGCAACCAAAGTTAATCATCAGTATGGTCCTGGCAGCAAGGTGTCACACATCTGTATGCACCATCATATTGGAGTATAAAGGAGCGGAAAGGGCACAAGTCTCGGAGTCAGGTGAACTGGGTTGGGGGCTTAGTTTTGCTCCTTACTAGTTGAGTGAGTATAATCATGGATGAGGTACCTAATCTCCCTAAGTTTTATTTTCTTTATTTGTAAAACAATACCACCTATCAAATAGAATTATGAAGATTGAGATAAAAGCCAGATAAGATAATTATCCAGAGAAAGTTATAAACCAAATTGGTACCTGGGCTTCAAGGGTAGGTAACAAATATTTTCATCTAAATAGTTACTGTTCTTTTTAATCTTTTCTGTGAACCTTGGAAAATAAACTCTTGCCTCTCGCTTCTGCTTCCAGTTCCACTTGTCCTGTACAGACAAGGAGCGCTATGAAAACGAAGAGAGACCTGAGGTCCAGAAGCAGATGCTTGTTGATATGGCCAAAAAGCTACCAGTTTACACGAGAACTGGAAGTGGAGGTCAGTTCATCCAAAGTCAGCTAGAGAGGCAACTCAGCAAGGATCTCAGAAAGGCGGAGTCATGTACATCCTCAGGCTAGATAGCCCCCTTTTTCCTCTCTCTTCTGAAAAACGCTATAGAGTTTTTCTCAGTATTTTATTATAAAAAATTTCAAACATACATCCAAGATGGAAGAATTATTTTATAAACATCTGTATATCCACCACTGGAGTCCACCACTAACATTTTACTATATCGTTTTATCATGTATCTGTCCACAAATCCATCTCTCTATCCATCACCCAGCAAGCCATCCTATTTTTTGATTCATTTTAAGGTTGCAGATATCAGTACATATCCACCTAAATATTTTATCATTCTTTTTTGGGTGAAATGTACATACAAAAACACGCATGAATCATGAGTGTACCATTCAGTGTTTCAACAAATGTACACACCTGTATAACCAAAACCTCTATAAATATTGCCATACCCGAGAAAGTTCCCTCGTACTCCTTTCCAGTCAATTCCACCACCACCACCAAAGATAATCACTGTTCTGATAGTTTTCCACCAAAAGTTAGTTTTACCTGCTCTAGAACTTCATATAAATGGAATCATACAGTACATACTGTTGCGTCTGACTTCTTTTATTCAGCATAATGTTTTTGAGACTCATTCATGTTGTTGTGTATTTCATTCATTTTGTTGCTGGGTAGTAATTCACTGTATGAATATATCAAAGTTTGTTTATCCATTCACCAGTTGATGCACATTTGGGTTGTTTCCAGTGCTTAGCTATGATGAGTAAATCTGCTCTGAACATTCTTGTATAAGAGTTTGTGCAGAGATATGTCTTCATTTGTCTTGGGTAAACATCCACTGTGGAGTTTTACTTTTAGTTTCCATCTGCATGATTAGAACAGCACTAGCTGAACCAATTCTCTGCCTTCTAAAATTTGAAAACCAAGGTTCTTTTGACAAGTCGTCCTAATGTTTCTAAAAGAAAGATCGTGTTTCAAGGCTTGGGGAAGTATACTGTTAGTCATCTATCTTCTTCTGTTTATCATTATTTATTCAACAAATATTTATTAATATCCTATATGACAATTGGGGAAATTTTAATATGGTCTGGATATTAGATGGCATTAAGGACTTATTCTTAATTTTGTTAGAGCATTAGTCATGGTGGTTCTGATTTTTTAAAAGTCTTTATGCATACTCAAATATGATGAAAAAGAGACAGACAGGAAATTACCTATAGAATTTCAAACAGTAGTAAACAGAATGCTGTGATAGAGTAGAAGTTACAAAGTAGAGGCATACTGGATGAATTGGGCCCAGAGGTATATTTTGTTTGATCTTTGATGTCTTTTAAAACTTTGCATTTGTTACTACTTTTTAACAATTAGAGTATTTCCTCATGAAAATCCAGATTTCTGGCTTCTCTTGGAAACTCAGACACTCTGGCAACATTCGATCTGCATTTTCACATGGCAAAAATTAGCTAGAGCTGAGCAGTAGTTACTCTTTTTAAACATGGCATGAATTCTCAGTTTCTCCCACAGTCTCCAAATGGCTGCTTCACTCACTATTCACTATTCCCTGGACTCTTGAATGTTTGTTTGCAGCCCCCATGGTATAGAGTAATAGAGAAGGCTTCTCTGAGGAAATGTCATTTGATCTGAGACCTGAATAATAAGGAGTAACTAGCCATGCAAAGAGCAGAGGGACTAGAGTCCTCAGCAGAAGGCACTGCAAGTACAAAAGGCCCTGAGACAGGAACAAGCTTGCAGTATTAGAAAAGCAGCCAGGCAGCCAGTGTGGCTGGAGTATAGTAGATGGACAGTGGTACAAGTTAAGGTTGAAGAAGTAGGCAGAGGCTAGATGATGCAAGCCGTGGTAAGGAGTTTGGATTTTATTCTAAGGGTGTTGGAAATCCATTGAAGGTTTTAAGTGTACAGTGGTGTGATCTGATTTACATTTTAGTAGATCACCCAGATATTCTGTAGAGAATGTATTGTGGGGGGCAAGAATGAAAGCAGAGTGAATAATCAGGAAGCTATTGCAGTCATCCAAGCGAGAGATGATGGTGGCTTAAACTGGGTAGTGGCGTTGACCATATCTTTAAAAACATGCTGAAGGACCCAAACATGCATGTCCCTCTCCCTTCCTCATTGTCTCAATTATACCCATACTTTGGTCACCCCTCCCAATTGCTAGAAATGAACACAAACTCTGCTGAATTAGCCATCCATTATGTTGAATCAGTTATCTGTATTTAATCTACACTTTACATTGTTATTATATTAGCTCAAATTATTCATAATTTTAGTTATTACACTTAATAATAATCACATTAAACACAGTCATACTCTATCAATGAACACAGAGAAAATAAGAAGGAAAGGAGAATGCTTTTCATCTAAGAGAAATAAAGAAAGGAAGGAAAAAGGGAGGGAAAGAGAAATGATCTTTTATATCAGACTTACAGAATGAAGAGAACCCTGAACTAAGGGGTCAGAAAAGCTGTACTGGTCATAGCCTTGCCACTCACTTGCTATGTGACCTTGTGTAAGTCACTTGATATGGCTCAGGTCTTTACTTCCTTTATCTGTGAAACAGTCAATTGAACTAATTGTTCTAGAATGTCTCTTGTATTCTCCAAGTTGTTGTTCTAAGAACCACTCTCTTTACCATGCTTTAGGAGTTTTATCTACCTCATACAACCCAGCCTCTGGAGACAGGAGATAAGTTATGAATCCTTGTTTTTAGGTAGGAAAGTTGGAGTAAACAGAAGCTAAATGATTTTCCCAAGATCACTCAGCAGTTAACAATATAGTTTGTTTTATAATACAAAATCTTTTTTTTTTTTAAAGATTGGCACCTGAGCTAACAACTGTTGCCAATCTTCAATTTTTTTTCCTGCTTTTTTTTTTCTCCCCAAATTCCCCCAGTACATAGTTGTATATTTTAGTTGTGGGTCCTTCTAGTTGGGGCATTTGGGATGCCACCTCAACATGGCCTAATGAGCAGTGCCATGTCCACACCCAGAGTCCGAACCCTGGGCCACCGAAGCGGAGAGCGTGAACTTAACCACTCGGCTATGGGGCCGGCCCCAATAATACAAAATCTTGTGATCAGATATCCAGATATGAAAACTTTTCCCCTTACTTTCGTCCCCCAAAATGTGCTTTCAAGATCAATCCAACAGGGAAAAAATACATACCACAATCCTCTCATGTGATGTGCCTTTTGCTTGGTGACTTGAAATGAGATGAATTTGACTAGTTGATCCAGATAGGCTAGTAAGATATATGGTGTCATATTGAGCCTAACCAGTGCTAACCACCTTATTTTTCCTTTAGCTGTACGATTCTGTGACCGGTGCCATTTGATCAAGCCAGATCGCTGCCACCACTGCTCTGTCTGTGCCGTGTAAGTGACAGCCATATTTCCCCTGGGCTGAGCTTGGCCACTGATGGTTGCCTAGACAACAAAGTGACTGATCCTAACATGTAACCGTGCCTAGATAAGAGCATTTCCTTTCAATCATAATGAGCACATGCCAGACACCCTCACAGGGATGATGATGATTCAAACTATTCTAAATATAGGAAAGAGAAATAAAACCCCATTTTACAAATAAACATTTTATTTTAGGACAGTTTTAGATTTATAGAATTATTGTGAAGATAGTTCTCGTATGTCCCACACCCAGTTCCCCCTATTATTAACATTCTATATTAATATGGTGCATTTGTTACACTTAATGAACTAGTATTGATACAGGCATACCTCATTTTATTGCACTTTGCTTTATTGCACTTTTCAGATATTGTGTTTTTACAAGACCCTCCACTAGAAAAAAGATTATGACTCTCTAAAGACTCAGATGATGGTTAGCATTTTTTAGCAAAAAGTATTTTTAAATTAAGGTATGTACATTGTTTTTTTAGACATAATACTATTGCATGCTTAGTAGACTACAGTATAGTGTACACATAATTTTTATATTCACTAGGAAACAAAAAATTCATGTGACTTGCTTTATTGCAATATTCACTTTATTGCAGTGGTCTGGAACTGAACCTGCAATATCTCCAAGGTATGCCTGTATATTATTTTTAACTGAAGTCCATAGTCTATTTAGTTTTCTTCAGCTTTACCCCAATGTTCTTTTCGTGTTCCAGGATCCCATCCAGGATACTACATTACATTTAGTTGTCATGTGCTCTTAGGCTCCTCTTAGCTATGACAGTTTCTCGTACTTTACTTGTTTTTGATAACCTTGACAGTTTTGGGGATTAATGGTCAGGTATTTTGTAGAATATCCCTCAGTTGGGATTTGTCTGATATTTTTCTCATGATTGGATTGGATAATGTGTTTTTGGAAAGAAGACCATAGAGATAAAGTGCCATTCTCATATCATATGAAGGGTATATACCATAAACATGACTTTTCATTGTGATGTTAATCTTGATCATCTGGCTGAGGTAGTGTTTGTCATATTTCTCCATTGTAAAGTTACCCTCTTCCCACTTCCATACTGCACTCTTCGGAAGGAAGTCACTATGTGCAGCCCCCGCTAAAGTAATGAGAAGTTATACTCCAGTTCCTTGAAGCCAGAGTATCTACGTAAATTATTTGGAATTCTTCTGCATGGGAGATTCGTGTCTTTTCCCTCATTTGTTTATTTATTTATGTCAGTATGTAGACGTGGATAATCATTTTATATTTTGGGTTATAGCTCAATAGTACTTTATTTTGATACTCAAATTGCTCCAGCTTTGTAACACTCTATTTTTGTGTTAATAAATACAATCTTTATGTCCTTCTTCTTGGGTGCTTGCTCCACCCATATTTCTCTTACCCTTGATTGAAACACAGGCTGTAGCCATATGTTTTCTTCTGTATGTTTATTAAACTGAGTATTGAGAAAAATGAGGGGCGATATCTTGGATTTTTTCTCTGTATCAATATCCTAGGGATCCCAATCCCTTTAAAGGTTGGACTTCTAGGCATGTAACTTGCTGCCAGCATGATCCTATAAAGTGTTGTGATTGGCTCATCCTAGGAATAACTAAGGATGCAATAGTTTTGGAGTAGCTATAGTGGAAATCTAGAAATGAGTGGACTGGTACCATGTAAAAATATTGGTGAGACCTTTAGTTCAATTATGAGGTGTTGCTTCATTTCCATAGCCCCACTTATATTGTATTTTGTTCCTTTTGTAGGTGCGTATTAAAAATGGACCATCATTGCCCTTGGTATGTCCTTTTGATTCATTTCTCTCCTCTAAAAGGGTCAAAGTTCTTTAGTATACCTAGTTTCCTAAGAATAGTTGTAACATGCCTATTTCTGCTACCATAATTCACTGGGCTTTGTATTTGTATGGGGAAAGAGGAGGCATAACATTTTAAAGCAAGAATAAATATGCCACCAAAGCTATGGTAATGTATTCTCAGGGTCACAAAGCCAATAGTCTCTTGTCCATTAGCTTTAGTAATTGGGCATAGTAATGGAATAGAGCGCAAATGGCTCTCCTCTTTGATATTATACAATTCAGCTCTATCCTTAGCTGTATTTATGTTTGAAATATTCTAGATTGTTAACCTCAGCAAGTCTTCTCCAAATTTTGTTTGTCTGACCTAGACCAGTCTTAAATCATCTAACTACAAAGAGCACATGTCACACGGTACTAAGTGTACTAAGTGTACTGAGATTGTAATATGTTTTCAGCATCAAAGATCCAGTTTTGCTTGGGTGTGTCAGGAACGACTCCAGAACTATTAGGTAGGCCAGGTGTCTCTGTGCCTATAAATGAAAGAAGAAATAAGTGAGACGTGAACTTGTTTTACCAGTCTGTTCCTATTAAGGGACTTCTGTTTCTGTTGAGTTTCTACAGAACACATAATGAAGCAGCAGGAGTAACATACTTCCATTGCTTAGTTCACTTATGTATCAGTATATTCTCAATCAGTGGGTCCTGATTTCAAATTAGTTTTTCTTTTTTCTTTTTTTTTAGGGTTAACAACTGCATTGGATTTTCCAACTACAAATTCTTCCTTCAGTTCTTAGCTTATTCTGTTCTTTACTGCCTGTACATTGCTACAACAGTCTTCAGCTATTTCATCAAATACTGGAGAGTAAGTTAAAAAATCCTGAAGGTTCCCCCCAGAGCCAACACATGCCTACTCCAGTCTGTGACATTGTTTATTTTCTCTTTTTTTTACATTTTGAAATAGCTAATACTGAAGTAACCAGAAGGGAAAGCACCAAAAACAAGTTACCTGTGTTAAGTATTCTGAGACTTAGAAGACTATTATTTAAAGATTCCAGTTAAACAAATTTCTATCATATATGAGAATCTTGCTAAGGCCTTCAGGAACTTAACCTCTTGACTCTTACTGATTCTTTACAATGTACTTCTCTAGTCAAGTTTTAAAAATCCACTTCTTACCAATTATAGATTTAAAAAATGTTGAAACTAATTCTAAATCCCTAGTTTCCTAAGAAAAAGGCTAACAAAGTACTCCCTCATTGTTAGAAAATACTTTCTAATTCCCTGTTCAAAGGAGAGTTGCAAAATTCCTATAGAACAGAAAGATTCATTGACTCATCTTCACATGTGACCAAAATGAAATGGGGAGTCGTATTTGAACTTTGTATAACAAACACCAGGTTGGGAATTAGGAGAACTAAGTTCTAATACTAGCTCTGTTACCTGCCTCACTGGCTCATTGCTAAGAGCAAATGACATAGATGTTGAAAGTATTTTACCTTTCAAAACGTGATTCCAATAATTATAATGAAATCTAAAAAAATTCCTACTTTCATCTTTCTTCTGTTTGAAGATATCAATCTTACCCCACCTATTTCCAAAAGAATTGAAGGCAGATTTTCAGTTTGCATATGTGTACAGGGTCTGGCAAAGTATAGTGACATTTTTTTTTTAACGCCAGTGGACTCCAGAAGACATCCCTTCCCCACAGCTTCAATACAGTTGCTAAGACATCATAACCTTCCATGATGAGTGTTGCCCAAACTGAACCTGAATAGCAAAAGAGGGATGCGAGCAGAGCTACTAATAATTGCTTTAGGAATTGCACAAGAGGAATATCTCACCTCAGGTGGAGAGGTAAAGCAGCAGGGAGAAAATGTGAATCCTGTGACCAGAATATAGATTATAATAAACTGGTGAAAAAAGGAGAGACAAGGCAGTGAGGAACTAAATAGCTGAGAATATTTAAATTATTAATTAGTGCTTTGATCCCTACTAGTGTAGAAAATATAGTGTAGAAATTTATAATGATTTGTGCTTTCCATTCTCCCTTCAACTTGCTTAATCAATTCAGATATTTAATAACGTTAAGAATCAGGAATTATATAATGGATATCAAAATCTTCAACTCAAAGATACAAAAGTATAAGCAGAAATGAAGTTTTCTCATAAATTTTCCCCAAATACAAAATGCTTCACCATGTTAGTGTCTTTTCTTTGGCCACTTTCCACAGCACAGGATCTTTTATCTATTGCTCAGGTTTCTATGACCTGTTTGGCATTCCATTCACACGCCGAGCTACTATCCTGAATGTAAAGAAACTCTACTGCATCCAATTCAGCAGAGAAAGTGTCAGCCTGGGTCTTCACTACAGACCTTACTTGGTCCTTAACACAGTAGACTGCTGTTTAAGAACCATCCTTTACTCTCATAACAGAGTAAACAATGTTGCATTTCACACATTTTGCCTTTGGCCCTCCTAGTTGGCCAATAGTCAAATACCACAATGCCAGCCAGGTGGCCAGGTACTATCTGCTTTTTTTACTCTTGAAAGATAATATTTGAACATGAATTAATCACCAAAAACATTCCAGTATTCGCAAGAAATATCAGGGGTGAACATAGCCTAGTCCTTTTCCTATTCCCTCATTTTTTCTCCACGATAGACTAGCTCATGCCTGACAGATGAGAGGCGAGGAAACCTGTCTTGGCTTGCCCTCATAATGAAAAGGGCATTGACAGTTCAGAGAAATGCTTCTTCACAGTCTCTCCAGCCAGAGAGCACTTTGGTGTGGTTTAGGAATGGCTTTCTCAGTTTAAATTGAGTCTCCTCTTAAAATGAAGAGTTAACACTGCCATGTATGTTAAAAGCCACGTATCAAAGAGACTGTGCTCCTAAGAACAGTAACCTCCGTTTGTATAGTACTGTACCATTTTCAAAACACTTTCATATCTATTATCCCATCTTATCCTCACTATAACCTTGTGAAGACGACAAAGCAGGAATTATTAGTCTCATTTAAAGACGATAGAACTGAGGCTCATAGTGGTTAAGTGACTTGCTCAGGGTCACTTAGCTTGTAAGTTTCAAAGTCAGGACTTGAACCTGTCTGACCCTAAGTCCAGTGATCTTAAACACTGAGCCATATCCTACCGCTCATTAAGGTCCTACTATGGAGAAGCTCCAGCTCCTTTGGAATAAGGAATTCAGAAAACCATCAGATCGTGTCTCTTCTCTCAATATTAACTTAAAGAGTGGCTACTTTGATAGGAAACTGATCTTTGCCTTAGGAAAAAAATAGTAATAGACACCTCCCACACTGGGCCATGAATCTCCTCACAGAGGCTATGAATTATTTTAGAACCAAGATAATAGTAGTATTCTACCAGTATTCCCTGAACTGTTTCTGGTGGTTATTGCATTGAGTAATTTAGCTTGGTTATCTCCTGAGAAGGTAATTTTGAACAGAGAGCTGTCATCCTCTTCTAACAAAAAAAAAAAGGTTAAATATTAAGGACTTTATCTAAGGACAACACAGTAGATATGCTTTGGCAGATGGAAGAGAGTTCTGTAAGAGTAATTAGGGGAAGGAAAGACTTCCAGCTCAGCTAACCAGGGTGTGAACTGACTTACATCAGTTTCTCTTGCCTAGCCATTTCCTATTGCCCATTTAAACATGAAAGATAAGAAGTAAAATAAATGTAAGCTTTAAAAGCTGTGAAAAAAACAGACTCAAAAAGTAGAGATTATGAAAGCAAGAACCCAGCCAGGCAAAAACCACCTCAAAGTGATATATACAGTTTCCTATAAATTCAAAACAAAACAAAACAAAAAGCAGTCAAATTCAGTTTGAGTGCTTAGGCCAAGATTTTATAGAGGGATCATTTTAAAAGGGAGCTTCAGATAAAAGTTCCTGAAGGTTGAAGTCCGTAGGGTAGCTATTCCTGGGGTGCCCTGCCCCCATGCAAATTTCACCCAAGCTATCCCTTAGCTGAAAGCATCTGACTGGCTTACTCCCCCTTATCTTCATACCTTCAAATATATACACTCTGGAAGATTCCCAGTATTTCCTTACATCAAAATGAATGAAAACCTCTAAGAGAAGAAAATAATATGTACTATCTGAATTTGCCAAGTGTTTCTAAGCCTTAACTTTCTCCTTGCAAACTGGAGTAGAACCAGATCCTAACGTTAAGGTCCACTTCAAGAATCACCTTTAGCTTTATTACTCAAGAGGACTTGGAAATATTTCAAAGCAATTTAGCACCCCAAAATAATGATCAACACAGGAAAGGAGGAAATAAAGAAAAGTCATTCTCCCAACTGCTCACTCCAAAATTGAAAATGTTTTCTAAGGTTCTCTTCAAAAGACAAAATGTTACATGCTGTGCATGCTATAAAACTTTAGAAAATTCATTCTGATCTAGGTTCTACATGTAAAAAAAAAAAAAAAGCTGGCACCACATGGAAAATAAGATGTCCTAGCTAACTATAAAAATCTTTAGCTACCTACTTCTACAGTTGCCTGTCAAATCCTGCCTGATTTTACTATCTAAACAGCTCTTCCACAGGATGTAATACACCAGCACATTCTACTTCAGCTGTGAAAAACAACTACACAAAATATGCAGTAGCTTTAAAATCAGGTCATGACTTATAGGTAGAACATTTTAAAATTCTATCTATGTGTTTTAACTTCCTACATATATCATCATGACATTTTCAACACACATATGTCCAAGAAAACATGACATATAAAGTATTCCAGAATAAAGCACTTTGAGACAAGAGGATGAACCATATGACCTCAAGATCGCCTCTAGCCAATGATTCATAATTTGCAGACAAAGTGGCGTAAAAGCTATAAGAGGTTGCATACCAATTACAGCTTGAGTATACCCTTTTCACATTACCCTTTTATAACTAGTACATTATATACTTTTATTTTACACTGATTTGTGCTTAAACAAGGATCCATTTTAGGATTTGTATGTTGAAAGCATATCCATAATGAGGTATGGTAATCAGTAAAAAGAACTGTCTTGTAAAAATTTTACAAAATCTTGTTTTTAAATTGCGCCTAGATATTTTATACGTATGAAAAAAGTACTAACCTATATAGAAAAACTAGCCAAACCTTACCAATTTAATCCTTTGTTTCTATTTATTTCTTTTCTAGGGGGAATTGCCCAGTGTTCGCTCTAAGTTCCATGTCCTCTTTCTCCTCTTTGTGGCCTGCATGTTTTTTGTCAGCCTTGTGATTCTCTTTGGTTACCATTGTTGGCTTGTCAGCAGAAACAAAACCACTTTAGGTAAGACTGGATATTAAGACTAGGAAAAAAACATACTGATGTATATGACAGTGACCTGTGGATTGTTCCTAAGGCAGAGAAGAACTTGCAGTGAAGCACTTTAGCTGCAGTGACATCTCTTTGCGTCCAAACTGAGACAGATGTAAACACATTTTACCAAACTAGAGAGCCATAATGAATAAAGCTTACAGACTAAGGAAAGCATTAGTGAATGAAACCTCACACAAAACCAAAAATGACCATTGTTCTTTATAGTTCGTATTGGGTAATAGCGCCCTAGATTTACAGCTCAGAAAATTTCTAAAAGTTGTTCACCTGAGGAAGTGAAGGAAAGAATCAGAGCAGAAGGAAACATCAAAAGGTAGAGATGAAGGTCAATAAAGACAGAAGAATCTAATTTACTGAGTACATCCAAAGACAGAGTCCTGGGAAAGAATCCAAATCAACAAATCATTAAATATCTACAGTCATCAAGAAGCTGTGTAGAGACTGTGGGAATGAGATATGCACTTTGCACAAGTGAGTCTCTAGAAAATGAGTACAAGAAATGAACATTTTTTCCCGTCCTTTAGACTCTGGGCTGTTATTTGGAGAACTATATTTTTGATGAATTCCAGTACAACAATTTTTTTCATGTATGCTGAAACAAACATTTACATTGTATACAAATCAATGCATGAGGAATGAGGAGAAAGTGTCTAAGTGTTCAATGTTTAGCTAGGATAGATTTGAGGAAAGTTTAGTGCAAAAGCCACTATGCTTTTGGAACTCTTTTGCTAATAATGCTAACAGCTAAGAAAGTATTTGCACTCATTTTCTAAACCAAATATATACGTAGCACTTAGATGCTAGCATGGTAGATTAGCACATTTGGCTTTGAGGTCAGCTGCAAAGTAGAAAAGTACCAAAAGCTTCATGATAACAGAATCTGAAAACAAAGAACAAGTGGGAAATGGCCACATGCAGCCAGAGTCCAATAGTGAAAGTGTTTGCTCAATGGGATGTGTGTCCAAAAATAACGTGCACTAGTAACATGGTCCAATTCTTCATAGTCTTTGAGGTGATTATAGTTCACCCATGAACATTTTTTTCTGGAGTAAAACTCAGTTTCTTACATTGCAGTCTTCAGTGTGAACATCTTCATTTCTGAAATGTTTCAAAACGAAATCAATGTCATTACCATCTCTTTATGTGTCATTACTTTGGTCCCAGCTCTAAAGATGGAGACCATTTGGCTGTTGTTGCCACTTTGATTCAAACAAATTGCTGTGTAAATTTGTTCTTTCATTCCTTACATGCAGCAGTACAAAATACTACCCCCATGGCTGCTTAATTATTTCTACATCATGTGTTTCTTCTGACTTTTTTTTAAAAAAAGAGGGTATTGGGGGCTGGCCCCGTGGCCGAGTGGTTAAGTTCACACGCTCTGGTTCGGCAGCCCAGCGTTTTACTGGTTCAGATCCTAGGCACGGACATGGCACCGCTCGTCAGGCCATGCTGAGGCAGCGTCCCACATGTCACAACTAGAAGGACCCACAACTAAAATATATAACTATGTACTGAGGGGATTTGGGGAGAAAAAGCAGAAAAAAAAAGAAGATTGGCAACAGTTGTTAGTTCAGGTGCCAATCTTTAAAAAAAAGAAAGGAGCAGGTGGATTGAAGGTTAGAAGAGAGTGGCAGGAAGAATAAGCTGTTAAAAAAAAGAAGGTATTGATTCTTTGTATGTAATAGCAAACCTACTTTGTATTAAGTGATTAAACTGATTTTTGCCAAGTAATTTAGCAATAACTAAAAATGAGGAGCCTATGCTCTCACAGCAAAAAGATACTATAGAAGCAAGTCACATTCATGGAGAACTGTAAAATCATGGTGGTCCTGAAATTTGTTCCTTTATTGCTTTCTTCCTCTTTTCTTCAACTCCCCTACCCTGCCACAGAGGCCTTCTGTACTCCAGTGTTTACAAGTGGCCCAGAGAAAAATGGGTTCAACCTTGGCTTCATCAAAAATATCCAGCAGGTGTTTGGAGATAACAAGAAGTTCTGGTTAATACCTATTGGGTCGAGGTAGGTAATTATTACCAATGAAAGAAGTTGATGCTGGACCATGCCTTGAAGTAGCAAATTCAATGTTGACGGTAGTATGCAGTAGGTATCAGTTCAATGTAAAATTCTAATCCCCAAATATTTCATTTCTAGGTTAATAAAGACAAATTAGGAGGAGAGAGTATAATAAAGTTGGCATTCTCATGCTTTGTTGTGGCACTGTAAACTGGTACCACTCTTTTATAAATGAATTTGGTAATGTGTATCCAAAACTATGAGAATCTATGTATCCATTGTCTCAGTAATTCCATTTCTGGGAGTCTATCCTAAAGACAGAGACAAACTAGGTACAAAGATGTTCATCACAGCATTATTTCCAGCCAAAAATTAGGAAACAACTTAAACATCCAACAATATAGGACTGTATACACACACACACACATATATATATGTGTGTGTGTGTGTGTGTGTGTGTGTGTGTGCGTGTGTATATATATATCTCCACTGGATGGAATATCATGTAGTCAAAAGTAATGGTTATAAAGACTATGTCACAATAAGGGGACATGCTTACTATATTTTAAGTGAAAAATGTAGAATTCAAAATGGTATGTGCACTGTGATTAAAAATATGTACAAATACACACAGAAGAAAAACAACAGAGGGACTATATACCCCAAATATGCTATAAGTAGTAACGGCAATAGTCTTAGAAATTATTTTTCTTGCCTCCATTTTTCATACTTTGGGGTCAAATGCTTATATTACTTTTATGAAGAAAAAATTAAAACTAAAAGCAAGAACAAAAAAGATCCATTTAGAGATTGTAGGTAATTCTTAGAACTGCAATCGGAGTGAAAGGAAAGCAGTGAAGAAGAGATGAGCTTGTGTCCTCTGAGTGACTTCATGAACCAGATTGAGCTGCCATCAACTAAACTAGCTCTGGAGCAAAGCTTCTTTGGAAGCTTCTTGCAGCCCCCTTTAGATCCATTCCTCAGACAGGGACACATCCATTTGTTCATTTAACTGAGGAAACTTTGTTGGAGTAGGGTGATAATTAAGAAAAATTTTTTCGTCCCCTTCACTCATGGCCCTGGTACTTCCTCTGCACCAGTTAGTGTTTTACAGGCTCATTTATATAAGAGTTGTGGTATATCCTACTATCCTGGCTATAAATCACAGGACAAAACTGTGTCTGCAGGAAATATTGATTAATAACTGTTACCAGCAATTATTTGCACCCCACTCACACATGTACACACACAAATACACATACACTATGATTACATCAAAGGGGGGTCTAAGATGAGTCTTCTCTGGAATAAGGAACAAAAGCAAAAATCAAAGCCCATTTACTTACTAATCAGTATACTTACATCCTCTGTAGAGAACTATCAACAAAATCTGTCAATTTTCAATTAACCACATTTGTGAACAGGAGAAAAGGCATAGGTAATATTGAATGAATAATCCAAAAGTCACTCAGATGTAAATTTGGAATGCATTCAGAGATATACAGACTCAAATATTCAAACTGTAACCCACTCTAGGCAGGGCCAGCTCAGTTTCCTCCAGTGCATTCCATCTCTTAGTGACCAGAGATTAACCAGGGTGGTGGCCCTAAGTTACCATAGATATCCTCAAAGTGGATCCCACATACGGATAATTTCCCCCAGAATCTATACTCTTAGAGATGCCTCACTCTGGCTCTTTCCTCCAGCTCGTAATAACCTTTCTGCCATACAAGCCAGTTCACAGCAGCTTATCTCCACTGTATTCATTGATTTTGAATCTGCTAATTTTTCTTGAAAATTTAGAACCAAATCATTAAGATAATGAGATATAAATTGGAATCATCTTCATTAAAAGATATTTATGAAGCTTGCTATGTGTGCATATTACCATAATGGGCATTGTGGGGAGCAAGTTAAGAAGGTGCTTACAAACAAAAACAGTTTTTGTGTGATGCAGACAAACAAACAAGATAAATTGAGGAGCCATCCTGCTGGCACAGTGGTTAAGTTCTCATACTCCACTTCAGCAGCCCGGGGTTTACAGGTTCGGATCCCAGGCACAGACCTACACACTGCTCATCAAGCCGTGCTGTGGTGGAGTCCCACACACAAAAATGGAGGAAGATTGGCAACAGATGTTAGCTCAGCAATAATCTTCTTCACCAAAAAAAAAAAAAAAAAAGAAATTGAGAGCAATACAGCAACTAAATGATGCTATTGTGAGAGCCTGTTCCACCATGGCTTTAACCAATAAGTTAAATGGTTTAAAATCTTGCTAAGAGCCCCCCTCATATTCCCAATAGGATTATTACCTTCATAAAAAGTCTATGTCAGCTGCAAGAGCTCACTGTCTTCCTTTCCCCACCAGCCCTGGTGATGGACACTCCTTCCCTATGAGGTCTATGAATGAGTCACAGAACCCATTGCTAGCAAATGAAGAGCCCTGGGAAGACAATGAGGATGACAACCGAGGTAAGTAGGCTCAGAAGGAAGTCTTTTTTCCACCCAGCAGACCAAGCACTGATAAAGACCATGTTAACACAACCAACGTAGTGTAGTGAGAAAATAGTGTCCCGAAAGACTATATAAGCATGTTAACCTCATAATTGCCCTTTGGATAGAGAAGAACAAGTATGGCCAGATTTGTTTAGCAAATATGGGTGGCTTAGGTAGGATTAGACAGCAGCTTGGGAGGTTCCTTTCCAGCTTTGTGATACCATGATTTATAACCAATCAGATGAATAAGGAAACTAAAACAGTGTTGATGAATGTTTGTAAACAATCCTGCCAGTTGGTTACTCACAGTGCTTTGCTTGAGTTAATTCAATCAATAGGCAACAGATCACCTTTCTCTACTCTGATTAATTCACATTGGTTAAATTTTCTTTAAAATCTCCTTCCTATTCTCTGTTAGGATGGTTTAAATACACACACAAAAAAAGATAGCATATGGGGGCAAACCTACACATGCATGTGGTCTACTTTTCTAAAAGGCAGAAGAGCAAAGGAAAAATAAGGAAGTAGAACTGCCCGTCCACATTTTCCCACCAGATTATTGGATCGTCTTGAGATTTTTTGTGAAGAGCTCAAAGTTAAGTTCTCGTGCCATGTACCCTCCTTGCCACCTATTCTTTGTCTCCGTGTGATGCTCTGCTTACTACTGTGCCTCCAACATTTGTCTATGTTGCTAATTCCAGGAATCAAAGAGTAATTTTTAGCGGCTGGTCCCAATAATTCAATAGCTGACAGAAATTTTGAGTGGGAACTTGTAGTACTTGTCACAAACTGTAGTTGGGGTGAATGAGGCTGAATGAGGACATGGAAAGGCATTGAGGTGGGGCCCAGAGATGGGAGACAAGCATTTCTAAATGTTCACCCAGTTAGAGTAGCTAGGCCCAGGTTCTCTCCCTGGAAGTCCAGTTTTACAACAAGGCAGGTTAATAGGACTAAAGAAAACAAAACAGTCCAAAATCCATAGTTACAAAAGGAAAGAGTTCTTGCCCAGCCTAAAGAACTTCAATGCAAGCGACTCCTTTACCTCCTCCTGCTGACTCTATTGAAACTCTGACTGTATTTTGACCTACCTTTCTTCAGCTGTCGGTGTTTCTGAACAGTGTTTCTTTTACTCACAGCAATTACAAGTGATAAGAACTTTTATTTTGGTATTGAGAAACCCAAACTCTAATAGAAATCAGAGACTTATAGGATCTTAACCTGGTTTGAAATATCTCCACAATGGAAAAAAAAACTATTCATATCTGAGCCTTGTGTTGGCAAGTGGAACACTTTGAGTATGGATGTAGCACTACATTATAAAGAGCTTATTTTCTTGAAGTGGTTTCCAATTCCAGACTTTTTCAAAAACATTCAATCATTAAAAAAATGTGTATACCGTTTTATAGTTTACAAAGTACTTTCATATACTTTTTATATCCTTTGTCTCTCACAACTGCCAGGTTAAGTAGGCAATTTTATTAATACCATCCCATGTTATAATTGAGGAAACTGAGATTTGGAGATTTTAAGTAACTCATCCAAGATCACATAGCAAGAAAGAGGCAGAACTTGAACTTAAAGTAAGGTACGCTGATTCCAAATCCTGGATTCTTTCTATACAATTCTATGTCTGTCCTTTGAACAAATACATATGAGACACAGTGGTGTGATTGGATGCCGTCTTGTTACCTGATACATTCAACTGCCTCCTACATACATTGTAAAATCAGACTATAAGCTGCCTGTAGCTTTAGCAGGACCACCATGCCATCCCAGATATATGAGGTTTCTTAAGTCGATTGAGAGAGTTTTCACAACTCTCCTTTATCACCCATTCCAGTATCTAACAAATTTAACTATTAGAAAACTGTACTTTTCTCTAACACAAGTTCTCATACTGCATTGTTTATCCAGTTGATTCTGTGTTATCCTCAGTTGCCTCCATTTTCTGTGCATAACTGGTCATATACAAATAGTCCTTGCACTTTTAACAACTTAGATTCCTGATAAAGGTGCTATAAGTTAAAATTATGTGTGTTGAACTTAATTTCTTTTAAGAATAATATCAAGGTTTGTTCTTGCCCAAAACATAAGATTTAGTTTACTATAAATGATGTACATTGTGTAATGCAAAGCATTCTAAATTGTATATAAATTGATAAAGTATGGTAAAACAGTAACGTGTTAAGTAAAAATGTAATTTCACAGTTAGCAACTAATTAAAGTCTTTGCCTTCTTTGAAATCCCTGCCTTATTTTAGTACGGCAATGTACTAGGCAAAGAAACACTTTTATGAAGTCAAGAGATTTAAATAGGCTTCTCTGATGATATTTTTACAGTAAAGTGTTTAATATACAAATGCATAGAAAAAATGTGCAAATCAAAAGTGACAAGTCAATATATTCTTCTGAGGAGATTTTAACAGGCATCTTTTAAAAGTCTTTTCAGAGACTTCAGGCTACATTTAAGCTTTTTGAGGAAATGATGAAGAGATATCTGTTCTGTTACTCATTACTAATTTTCTGTAGTTTGCATAAAAAGAGTTAGAGATTGCAATGTAAGTCTTTCTGCTCTATTCAAAATTGGAATCCATTTCCTCCAAATATGGGTGGCATCTATGGCCCTGCCTGCCATATATGTCATGAATAATAAGATGGGTGTGATTGTCAGGGTGATTCTCAAATGCAAACTGCTGTAAGTCAAAGTCTGCCTGTATGCAAAACCCATACAGAACCCCCTCAGCCTTCTCAGGGGGAATAATCCTGGTTCCTTAATAATTTTTCATACAGGTGATTTCTCAATATTCTTTTTGTGTTTATGGCTCTGGTGCCTTTCTAAATGCTCTATGTCCTTTTATGGTTTCAGCAGGTAACAGAGCCTATGCCATTTTCCAACTATCACCCCTTTCAGATTAGTTGCTGAACTATTTGATCATGGACATTTATTTAAGATACAGCATCCCTGGAATTCAGAGCAGGTAGTGATTTTCTCTAGGCAGTGAACTTAACAGTGACATGGACAAAGACTCCAACAGCAGAGCAGTGGCTTTTTCCACATGCAAGGGAGTAACTCTTTTGTCAACACCACTGATTGAATAATGAATGATATTATCTTGCTCTGGAGAGGTTTTCATCCAGAAATATTTTAAGGTAAATATAAAAATAGCCCACTTGTTAGGAAAATTTATTCTGCAAGATTTTACCAAAGAAAGTGTGAGAGATTTGTTTTCATAGTGACTCAAATAAGCAACTTCGAGTCACCTGCAGTCCTCTTGTTGGGGTCCTCCAACAGAGAAGCCCAATAGGGAACTATGTAATAATGTATATTATGATTGGCCAGACAATATCTTCCTACACACTTTCCCATGAGGTATGAATTTGCCCAAGCTGTAAGAGAAGCAAGTCAGTTGAGCCCTGGATGGTAGCCATGAAACTTCTTAAGAGTGTAGACTTAACCCTAGTAGAGAGAGTCAGAGCTTCCGGAGAAAAGTTGTCCCAGAGTTTACAGGGAACTTCCCAGTTCTCCCTGTTATGTAGGATGAACCTAAACTCATAGTAATCTGTTTTGCAATATTCCCCAGCCCAGACTCACAGATTGAAGTCTTCAAAAAATACTGCCAAGAACATCTATTCTGTGGTCATCTCACAGGGACTGAACTCAGTTTTGGCTTTGATAAAAGTACTAAGGTTAACATCTGTCAATTGTAATTACATGACCTCTATCCGTTAGACTTAGTTCCTTTACTTCGTAGTAAGGAAAGTAAAGCTAGTTCCTTTCCTCCGTCTTACCCAGTTCTTCCAGAAGCCTGGTTTGAGAATTCCGTAGGGAGCTCCAGGTCAGGATCAAGTCTTAGGGTACACAATAATTATGCACGGCATATTCCAGTTACTCTATATCAATGCACTAACTATGACAAGAACAACACTTTACAAGAAGCCAGCAGAAGAAGAACTGAGCTTTCCTGAACTAACCAAAATTGCTTTCTATCTCCAGCTAATGAGACTGAAAATTAACTCTTTAATTTGATAATTTTAAAAGAGTATATCCCAGGAGGGATATTTTTATAAAGTAAAAAAATCTCTATGATACAAAAAACTTTGCCTTAATTTTCTAATACAATCTTCTGGTATCGGTGATAACCAGGGCTTGGAAGAATTAATCTCTGACTTGTCAAATGCTAGACACTTATCTAGAAAAACATTGACTTCAGACGCTAGCTGAAGTGTTTGTGTTATGTGTTTTAAATATAGCCTAATTTCCTACTTCTTTGAGTAAAACTTTTTTTGTATGAGACCATGAGTAACTGTTCAAGGTAGAAGAGGTTTCTGATTTATTTTCAGTCTGGTAATTTCTGCTGCCATGGTAAATCATCCATTAGGAAAAATAACAGAAGAAATAAACTACTATTTGTTGACAGCATATTAAGGGTGTGACATTAGACCCATAAGGGGCATTATACATTATTGTCTCTGAACTCAAGAGTCTTGCATTTATTTGTGGAGATAAGACACATACTTGAAAAGTTGCCTAACAAAACACAATATAGGATATGTTATTCACCAAATAAATAGAACCATAAACTTTGTGCTTTAGGAATTCGAAAGAGAGAGTGATTCCTATGGGCTGGGCTAATCAGGAAAGGCTTTACAGAGGAGGTAGAATTTGGGTCTTAAAGATTAGATAGGATTTAGATTGATGGCAAGGAATGAAGAGACAAAAGGTACAAGGAAAGTCATAAGTAATTCACGAGACCCTCAAGCTAAGTGATGAAGAAAGTAACCTGGTGCCACCAAAGAGTTTGGATGGTAAGGGACTGCATAGGAACTCCTTGAAGTCCGAGACTTCATCTCCTTTATTTCATTATTCTCTCCAACTCTAGCAAAATAAAGGTGCATATAGATGATTGTTTGATTCCAAGGGTACAACTAACATTTATTGAATGACTCTTATGTGCCAGGTGATTTTCAGGCATTGTCACATTTAAGAGTCATAATCACTTTGTGAATTGTAAATATTAAATAACTCCATTTATAGATGAGGAAACTCAAGTACAGAGAAACTCAAATTCACACAGCAAGTAAGTGACAGAATCTGGCTCCAAAGTCCAAACCCTTAACCACTGTGCCAGCCAGTCAGTGTCTTTCCTTTGCTCCTGTTTACTTTTCAGTTTATAGACCTTTTTATGGTCTATTTAAAAGACAATCATCGGGGCTGGCCCAGTGGCACAGCAGTTAAGTGTGCACATTCTGCTTCAGCAGCCCGGGGTTTGCCAGTTCGGATCCTGGGTGCGGACATAGCACCGCTTGGCAAGCCATGCTGTGGTAGGCATGCCGCATATGAAATAGAGGAAGATGGGTATGCATGTTAGCTCAGGGCCAGTCTTCCTTAGCAAAAAGAGGAGGATTGGCAGCAGATGTTAGCTCAGGGCTAATCTTCCTCAAAAAAAAAAAAAAAAGAAAATTATATCAGTTCCTGTGCCTCTTTCATCAGAAGTAGAATAATGGAAAAACATGGATAAAGCTCTGGCATGGGAATCATTTCCCAGCTTTGCCACTAGGTTCATTGTATGACTTTCGGAAAGTCCCTTCTCTTCTCTGGACCTCAGTTTCAATTCCATGATCTCTAAGCCATCTTCAGCTCCAGGGCATGATGTTCTATGATCCCGTCTGATATTGAGGAGTCAGAAGTCAAGCTGAATAACCACACCTGACATCTTTCACCAAATGCCTCTTTTCTTTTTTTGGAAGAAATATATACTAGAGGCCACTGTAAACTTACATTATTAATATACCTTCCATATTCTGGAATCAGATTTCTTTCTTCAAGTACTCTGTCTGGGTACACCCAGTTGCTCCCTCTTATCATCTCTACCTAGCATTTTGACCACCAGAACCTATTCTCACACTTGTCATTTGCCTTTACTAGAGAGTGGGAATCCTAGGTCTCATCCCTGAAAGCAGCAAACATGATATACTGGGTTATGGAGGGGCTACTCTTTTGGGTAGCTAGGCATTTTTTACTGCTTTACCTGCATTGTCCAAACCTGAGCTCTGAATTAGTATGTGTCTCTGAAATATTGCAGGTCTCCAATTAATCAGTTCAATTCAGAAAGCATTTCCTGAAGATAGACCTCTAACAAGGTACTGTGGGGGAGACAAAGATAAATAAAATGTGGCCTCTGCCCTCAAGGAATTTGCAGTTGTAAGAAAGGATAGGAAAAGCACACAAGTCTAACACAAGATTTAATGTGTCCATTGCCATAAAAGCGATGCTCGCAATTACACACTTAATGTAGGCTTACCCTCTGCTAAGTACTGTGTGGTACACATGGTAAGTGTGTGATTGTAGTGATGCTTAAACATTGAGTATATCAATAAAGGGGGAAAGCATATGGGCTATAGTGGTGAAAGTTTTGAGGAAGAGGCAGGACTTAAGCTAGATGTTATTAGGATGAGTAATGACTTGATAGACGCTAGGAAGAAGAAAATAACATTCCAGGTAAGACATGTGACATGAATGTGGTAAGAACACTGATGAGGCCATCCATTCCTAAGTACAGAGTGGGCATTGTGGGTTGTGGGCAGTAATCCTAGACAGGTGAGATATGGCCAGATGGTAGAGGGCTTTGTTAACTTGATACAATAGGAAATAGCTATTAATTTTATAATCTTGAGTGATATTGATATAGTGAAAGATAAATTTTAGAAAGATTACTCAGGTACTAGTATGCAGGATGGATTGAAATTTGGAGAAACAAGAACCAGAGAGATCAGTAGATAGTTGGACATGTGTAACAATGGCTGCGTGAGTGGTGGTAACATTAGAAATGGAGAGGAAGGATCAAAGCCTGGAGACATTTTAAATAACTGGGAGTAGTTCCAGTGACTAGAGAGCTCTAGGAGTCATTTGTATAGAGATGGCAGTTAAACCCATGAGAGGTATAGGAGATAATCAAGGGAGAGAATAAAGCTAGGGAAAGGAAATAAAATGGAAAATTTGGAATCATCTAAGCCATGTTGACATGCATCCATGTGGACAAGGAAACAAATGGAGAAAGTGAAAGTCAGAGGGTAAAGGATACAACCTTAGAGGACACTCATAATTCAAGGGAGAGCATCACAAAAATACTGTGAGTGAGAGAGTATTGCCCTATTTTACAGATGAAAAAGCTGAGGCTGGGGAGTTAAAGTGACTAATTTAAAGCCATGAAGCAGTCACAACCCAACCTAAGTTCTTCCAGATTCCATATTGTGTCCATTTCCCTACTCTTCCCAATCTCTCAGAACTAATGGCTAGAAAGAAGTGTACATATACTCTGATGGTCACTTCCCATAATATCATGGGTTTATGTGGGAACACAGGAGATTTTAAAGGAAGCTAGCATACATGAAGACTAAAATGACATTGTTCTTCGTTCAAGTAGACATCTATTGACTGATGGTGAAATCACTACAGCATCAGCAGCAAGAGCAGGTGAGGGTGGGGAAAGCAGTATAGATGCAGATGGTAGACGGAGAAGGTAAATTGACTTCCTAAATTCTGCATTTGTCTTCTATTAGGCAGAGCCTGATTTTTTTGAAGTATCTGCATTTTTTCAATTTAGTCCTCACCAGGTATGAGTCTACCTTTGCAATCTTAGCTTAATCTTCCCCAGGAGTGGAACCATGAAAGAAGTTGATGATTGGGTTTTTCAGCTCAGGCTTCAATGTCTGCCAGCCTTATTTTAACTCAAATAATTGCCAAGAGGAAGTATTCTGTGCCAAATATGAGTGCGGAATGCAGTGGTGAAAAGTAAATGAAACCTATTTAGCAGAATACTAAATGCCAATTATGGAAAAGGTGCATTGCCAAACGATACAAAATTCTGAGACAGCCAACCATCAGCAAGGAGCAGCAAGGCAAATAGTGCATTGCACTTCCAGAATTGCCTTTAACACTTTATCAATCAGTTTCTTGGTAGAAATGTATAGGTGTGATGAGATGTATGCTTAAGAACTTGATGTCTCTTTTACTCTTTGAGTTGTTTGACAAACATGAATTATTCTCTATATGTCCTTCACTAGAGAGCTAGGCCAATACGGCTGCTTTCTGTTCAGACTTAAGGGCAAAAATACCCTAAGTCTGGGATTCCAGGCAAGACAGAATGTTGTGCCCACCATGGAACCATAATTCTAAAGACAGACATTCTCAGAGCCACTTTTATTTTTCCACTCTTCCTATAAGAAAGAAACCTTATCTCTGGAACCTGCCTCATTAACTCAGTGGCATGAGAGTTTGCCAGTCTGCTGTGGCAAGAGTAACCCATTTTGGCTGGCCTCTGTCTTCTGAGATCCAGATCTCACACTTATGGGAGCACTCTGAATGGCACGTTAATTTCATAAAGGAGAAGATACAAAACAGAAACTGTAGGGGCTGGCCCCGTGGCCGAGTGGTTGGGTTCGCGCGGTCCGCTGCAGGCGGCCCAGTGTTTCGTTGGTTCGAATCCTGGGCGCGGACATGGCACTGCTCATCAAACCACGCTGAGGCAGCGTCCCACATGCCACAACTAGAAGGACCCACAACAAAGAATCTACAACTATGTACCGGGGGGCTTTGGGGAGAAAAAAGAAAAAAATAAAATCTTTAAAAAAAAAAAAAAAACAGAAACTGTAAGAGACAACCACTGTCAACATTTTTTTTTAATCTCAAAGTGCCAAGTATATTATTATGCAGGGAGTATAAAGAAAGTGATTATCTGTACATTAAGCAAGCTGATTTAGAGTGTATTTTGCTACCACCAAACGGCTGGAGGTTGGAAACAAAAACATTTGTACCATAAATGATGTGGCTTGTTAATTCCAAAGCTTCTTATTTTCTAGATATCTCATTCATTTTTAGAGACACACCAATACCTAAAGTACTATAATAGCTATCTCAGTTATGTCCAGTGGAATAATAGCAAGACAGGGTGATTTTGTGAGTAGCAAGACCCAAAACATTACATTAAAGCCATATGATGTTGAGCTTAAGTCAAATACCAGCCAGTATTATAGATCAGATAATACTGATAAATAAAATAATCTTAGTTCATGGTACAATAGGCGGACTACTCTTGGAATGTAAATTTCTGGACTGGTTACAAATACTTTGGTGCAGCGAACCAGTCTTTAGACATCTGCAGATGTCTGCTGCCTCCAGGGATTGAACAAAAGGAAATATGCCAATGAATGAATACCCACCCATGTAAGAGAAAGGCATGTTTGATCACCTTCACTTTTCAACCTTGCAGATTATCCAGAAGATTCATCATCTCTTGCCGTGGAAACAGAAACGTAGCTGTTTTCACATTTCTTGCATCTCTCAGACAGGTCAGTATTCTGAAGGTGGCATATAGAGTGCCACCTGGACTGCTAAGAATCAGTCTTGGGAGCAGATCTAGAAAAGGAGTAAGTTCTCATCCTGGCAAACAAGATGTTAAATTCTTCACTGTTGTATTATTCACATAAGCAGAAATCCTTTACGTAATTTCCCTGTGTAACATAATGAAAAAGATGCCCTTATTCCCTGCACACTCACACTATTCACTTGGGCTAAAGGGCCCCAGGTTATCCAGAAACAGCCAAGCATCCTGTTCAGGTTATTTACTTTCATACTGAGTTATAAACCTTGTCCTGGGGCATTTCAGGTCTCTGAAATGATATAGATTACCAATGGATTCTTTTTGCCTGACTCCATTATGTCAATTAATAACCTCTTACCCACTCACAGGCAAAAAAGCACCATCCTCGCACTCCAACTCTCCCAAAATGCTACTAATTTGTTCATCAGTAGCAGGTGGCCTTACATATAGGATTCTCTTTGGCCTAGTGAAAAGCTAAACAACCTTTTCTTTGCAGCATTCACAGGTAAATAAACCCAAGTAATTCAGTATTAAAAGGAGAATTTCAGTAATAGAAATACCATGCATGGAGCTCAAAGCTCTGATTTGATAAGTCTTCCAATTCTATTCCCATGAAAAAGCTAGCAATTATTCAGAAGGCTATCAGTCTGTTTGTGGGTTCTCAAGTCTTTACATCTTTCCCTTACAGAACTCTGCTGTGTACCAGTATAGATACTACATAAGACCTTGTATATGCCAAGCTCCTTTGCTATGTACTTGATATATGTTATGTCATTTAATCTTCACATCAAGTCTGTGAGGTCAATGTTACTATTCCCATTTTACTTATGAGAAAACTGAAGTCCAGACAGGGTAAACCACCTGTCCAGCTAATAAGTGGATAACCTAAGATTGCAACCCAGGTCTATGTAACCTTAGAGCATGCTCTTTCTACTGTGGCACTACATTTGAAAACCTGACTTGGGCTATTTACTGTGTATCTTAACTTATAGTTAAAGGTTAAAAAGAGGGAAGAATTAAATCTGTCTTCTTCTCCAAAACCCTGATGAAATGTTTGATGTTTAAGTGAGACAACTTGTATGCTAGTAGTATCTAGATTTCAGTTATCCATGGTGTTTATCTCTCTCATTTTCCTATTTTACCATTTTACTATGGGTATCCTATGGAGCTCTAGTACTTTGATATGTTAACAGATGTTGGACGGAAAAAAAAAGTTCTCTGGTGAAATAAATTTAGGAAACCCTATGTAAGCAAAATTAGAGAGTTGTCTTTTGCATTGGAATTCTCAAGGCTTTTACTATGCAAATGAGTTTTGTGATGCTCCAAGAGGATGTAGTAGCCCTGCGAACTTATTTGACTGAACTTATTTTCTTTTGTGCAGATCGTGAAACCTTGTCTTTAGTGCAGTACTTGTCGGGACTTCTAATATGCTAAGGAACTTTGTGAATTCCCAAAAGTGGAATAAGTTTTTCCCAAACTTATATGACCATGTAACCCTTTGTTTTTCAGAACACCTTAAGTGAATATTAAATGATAAATATATTTTTGATATGATTCCCTAGATAAGCAAAATTGCGTTTAAACAATGCTTTTCCCAGGGTACTCTGTTCAAATAAATTAACTGATTAATTTTGTGGGGACAGCAGAGTCATGTTCTGATAATAACAGAAAAGTGTTTGGGGACACAGGAGGGAAGAGTAGGAGAATCATTTCAAAACTTATCAAGATATGAAGAATTTTTAATGTATATAGATAATTACTACAATGATGTTTGTAAAAGCTCCAAATGGAAAACAACCAGAATGTCTATCAATAGAATGGTCGAATAAATTAAGTATGTCCAAATTATTAGATATTTTATACATATTTTCCCCTGAAAGTTTTAAAATTCAAGTATGAGGGACAAAGTGAATACTCATCTATTTACAACTCAGAATTAACAAATGCTAACATATTTTATCATTTTGTCTCAAATTTTTATATATAAAAAGGAAATTATTGCCATAATTTTTACACAAAAAGGGACTAATTCTAGATGATATTTCCTTCAAAATGAAAAGACAAACTTGAAGAAACATTGAAAAATATATAACACAAAATTTAACATCCTTAATTTAGAAAGATCTTGCAAATCAGTAAGAAAAAGAAAAATACAACAGAAAATAGGCAAAGGTTGCGAACAATCAACAAAAAAGTTATGAAGAGTAAACGTGAAAATTGTTCAATTTCAATAGAAAGAAATGCAAATTAAAATAACTCAAAATATCAACTTTCTCCACTAAAGCAGACAATTTTTATAAATTATAGTACCTAGTGTTGCCCAGGACATGTTGAAACAGCTGCTCTTATGTACTGCTGATGTAAGATTAAATACATAGATCTTTTTTTGAGGGCAATTTGGCAACATATATTAAAACCTTAAATTTTTCATACAATTTTATGTGATAACTCCATTTTAAGAACGTATTTTAATAAAATAATCAAAGATCTGCACAAGTATTCATTATCAATTTATTATAATAGCATAAAATTGCAAACAAAACTAAATATCTCACAATAGAGGAATGGTGAAATAAATTGTTACATCATTATGATAAAATATTATGCATGATTAGGAGTAATTCTTTTGAAGAGTAATAGAGTTATGTGAAAAAACTGTATAAGTGTAGTTTAATTTTAAAAGTACATTTTTATCAGATTTATTTAGATGATGCACATACCATCTAATTCGACCACTTAAAGCATACAATTCAGTGGTTTTTGGATATTCACAGAGTTGTGTAACCATCGCCACAATCAATTTTAGAATACTTTCATTACTCCACAAAGAAACCTCAATCTCATTAGCAGTCACTCCCCATTCCTCCACTCCCACCTCTAGGCAACCACTAATCTACTTTCCATCTCTGTAGATTTGCCTATTCTGGACCTTCTGTATAATCCATGATTCCATGGAGTCATACAATATGTGGTCTTTTGGGAGAAAATATTTAAATATCTGATAAGAGACTTGTATGCAGAATATATAAAGAACACTTGCAATTCTAGTCTGTACAGAAAGTAATATATAATAATGTACACCTGAAATTACACAATGTTATAAACTATTATGACCTCCATAAAATAATTTTTTTAAAAAAACTCTTACAATTCTATAATAAAAAGAAGATCCAATTTTTTAAATGGGCAAAGGATCTGAATAGACATTTCTCCATATATAAACGATCAATAAGCACAGGAAAAAATGCTTAACATCATTAGCCATTAGGGGACTGCAAATCAAAACCACAAGATACCACTTAATCTCCACTAAGATGGCTATAATCTGAAAGACAGATAATAACAAGTGTTGATGAGGATGTGGAGAAATTAGAACCCTCATAGATTGCTGTTGGGAGTATAAAATGGTGCAGTCACTTTGGAAAACAGTTTGGCAGTCCTTCAAAATGTTCAACACAGAATAACCATATGACCCAACAATTCTACTCCTAAGGATATAACCAAGAGAAATAAAAACATACGTCCACACAAAACTTCTACATGAATGTTCACAGTATTATTCATAATAGCCAAAAAGTGGAAACAACCCTAATGTCCATCTACTGATGAACAGATAAATAAAATGTGGCATATCCAGACGTAGAATACGATTTGGCAACCAAAAGAATACATGCTGCAACATGGATGAACCTTGAAAACTTTATAAAATTACATTTTTAATTTTCATTTAAAACTTTTAAGTATTAAAATATATCTGCATATGTAGAAAAACACTGAAAGGAAATATACCAAAAACATAAATAAAAACAAAATTTGTACATGGGTTACTTCCTTGTCTATCCAGTTTTGACACTTTAACCTCTGTCTGACCAATATTCTTATCTCACTTATACCATTGCCTCAGCCAGCAAAAGCCCAACTTTCAGATTTAATCCAGCCATCTGCCTTCTCCATTTCTATACTCAGGCCGCTGAGAACTACTACAAGAATAACACAACTAATTATAAATACTGATTGCAGCTGATTACAAATAACAGAACTGAGATTATACATTTGTGGTCTCCAGCCTAACCTGGCCTGATAGGTCTTCACTACTTACCTACTTAGCTACTTACCAGTAGTTCTTTCCTTTGTCAACCACAACTTCATACAGTTTCTCATATCACTCCTATCCTATATCATAATGAAAGTCCTAACACATGCAACAGGGATAGAAAAAAAAATAAAAGGCACTCTGATTGGAAAAGAAGAGATAAAACTATCCCTATTTGCAGATGACACGATTGTCTACATAGATAATCGAAAGAATCTACAAAAACTCCTGGAACTAATAAATGAGTTTAGCAAGTTCACAGCACACAAGATCACACAAACACCTATTGTGTTTCTATACATTAGCAGTGCACAGTTAGGAAACCAAAATCAAAAACACAATACCATTTACAATAACTCTGAAAAATTAAATAGCTAGATATAAATCTAACAAATCATATACAAGATCTGTATGCCGAAACCTACAAAACACTGATGAAAAAGACCAAAAAAGACCTAAAGAAATGAAGAGACATACTATACTCGTGGGTCAGAAGACTCAATATAGTTAAGATGTCAATGCTCCCCAAATTGATAGACGGGTTTGATGCAATCCCAATTAAAATTCTAGTAGAAATTTTTGTAGATATAGACAAGCTGATTCTAAAATTTATACAGAAAAGTAAAGGAACTGGAATAGCCAAAAGAATTCTGAAAAAGAAAAATAAAGTCAGAGGACTCAAACTGTCCAATTTTAAGACATATTATAGTGCTACAGTAGTCAAGACAGGGTGGTATTGGCAAAAGGATAGACCCATAAACCCATGGAACAGAATAAAAAATAAAATACAGAAATAGACCACATAATTATGGTCAACTGATTTTTACACAAAGATGTAATGGTAATTCAATGGAGAAAATATAGTCTTTTCAACAAAATGGTGCTAGAACAACTGGATATCCCTACGCCATGTACACCTCACAACATAAACAAAATCTAACTCAAAATGGATTATAGACCTAAATGTAAAATGTAAAACTATAAAACTCTTAGAAGAAAACATAGGAGAAAATCTTTATCACTTTGAGTTAGGCAAAGAGTTCTTAGATGTGACATCAAAAGTAAGTAAGTAAGATACATAAAAGAAAAAATTTATAAATTGAACTTGAACAAAATTAAAAGTGTTTTCTCTGAGAAGAACACTGTTAAGAGAATAAAAAGACATGTCACTGGCTAGGAAAAAATATTTGCAAAACGCATATCTGATAAAGGACTTGTATCCAGAATATGTGAAGTGCTCTAAAAGCTCAAAAATAAGAAAACAAACACCATGATAAAAAATGGGCAAAAGGGTTGAATGGAGATTTCACCAAGGAAGTGGAAATAAGCACAAGAAAAGATTCTCAACATCAGTAGCCATTAGGAAAACGCAAATTAAAACCACAAGGAGATTTCTTCACACCCATACTTGGATGGGTAAAAGTTTTTTTAAAAAGCAATTTCCCATTATATCAAGGTACTATTGTTTATCTAACCAATTCTCAGCTGTCCAACATTAAGATTGTATCCAATTTTTCACTATTATGAATAAGGCTGTCAATAATATCATTGAACATAAATCTTTTTCCTGATTTATTTCCTTATAAATCATTTCCTCATTTTCTTAGGATAGAATCCTAGAAGCAAAATTACTGGTATGAACACTTTAAAGACTCTTAATATATATGGCCGAATTGTTTTCCAGAAAGCTTGTACTAATAATAACTACTTGAGTGCCTACTGTATGCCAGATATTGTTTTAAGTAGATTTTATTCTGTCTGTTGTACAGATGAAGACACTAAGGTCCATTGATATTATTTGTCCAGAATCACAGAGATAGCAAGTAGCAAAGCTAGAATTCAAATTCAGAATTGCCCAATTTCAAAGCTCATGTTATTTCCATGTGAATTTCAAAAATAAATATTTTGTGTTATCAAATTATTATCTATTTCCTAGATAAAATGTGGGAAATATGAATAGAAAGTAAAGAAAATGAAAATAAATTACCCATGAATCCACCACTTTTAACAATTTAGTGTATTTCCTCAGTCTTTTGTTCCAGATACAATTTCTGGGTTAAAAATAATTATAACATTGTAAATATTTTGCATCCTGCTTTTTTCACTTGTTTTTCAATGCTGACCCATACTCTTCATAAACATAATTTTACAGTTATGTATTATTGTCAATAGATGTTACTGTGTGGATATTTACAGTTGTTCAGCTCACCTGTGAATTTCTTCTTTTCATTCCTAGAACCCTCCATCTCCCATGAGGCTTACAGAGTTCAATGTTGGGAACCATTCTAATCTTCAAAATAAGTCACCATGGCGGAGTGAAACCTTCACAGTTTGAAAGCATCCCATCAAATACTTGCTGTGCAGATAGATGTTTCAGGACTTTACAAGTTATTTAATTTACTGACTGAACTCATCAATCTGGTAGCAATTAATTCAAGCTAGTCTTCCTCTCTTTCTTTATTTCCCCTCCTCCAATCTTTGAAAGCCTAAATGTGTAACATATATATCTTTCCAGGGCTCTTTTCATTCCTCTTGTCAGGTAAAGAGGAATTCAAAAGACTTCCTCGGAGTCTTTATCTCCCTTGGAAAAACTATTAATCATATCTATAGGGTCTTTGTGGTATTGTGGGAAATCAAACTATGTTTGCTGCTTGTGTGCATGTGCATTTATAAGCATGCATATGTGCAGCATCTTTACACAAAAGTCTACCATAGTGTTGTGAAAATCAAGGTTGAAAAACTCTGATGGTTTTATTCAATCGTGCTTTTTCCATAAATAGAAATTTAGATATTTGCTGAGCTGTGAACACCATCCCTAAATCAGGTACCTAAAATTCGAAAGGGAGATTCAATACACTGTGATCAAGGTGCTTGAACTGGGAATTGAACAACAATGTAAAACCTCTTCTCTGTCATAGAGGTGTGGTGTTCCTGAAAGCACCACAGCTAACAGAGAAGATCAGGTCAGATTGCCACAGTATTAAATATAATGATTGTGTTTTAAAGACTTTTAATGCCAGACTGTGGTAAAATTCTCCAATTACTTTTATTCTTATCTTTGCTACCTAGCTTTATTTTAGCCTTTATGGGTTACTCTATGATGAAAGAAAAACTATAAGCCTAAGTTACAGACCATAGATTTTTTTAAAGGGTTTAATGGTGATTTTCAGGTTTAATTACAGTACTGTTCATAAAGGCGAAGTTTCACAGTTGAAATTAGCCTAAGGATTAGCACAAAGGATCAATGTTTTCACAGCAGGGGTTAGTGTACAGATAGTGATAGCCTAATAGTAATGTGACAATTCTTTTCCTTTCTTTTTTTTAGCTTCAGTGGCAGCTCAGCCATTAAGATAGTTTACATCCATTTCCCCATTTATTTATAATCAGCCGTTCTTTTAGTCCTAGTGCCTGAATCAGTGAGTATGGACACTAATGCTGCTTCTTTATAATAATAATACCTAAGAGTATTGATGGTTTTCATTTCTCAGCCAGTGCCCATCTGCTGACAATAGAAGCCCCAACTCTTACAGAGATCAGTGAGAGTTAGAGGCATCTTAGAGATACCAAGGAGTTGAGCTCCCAGAGGGATTTTAGGTCTACTAAATTTTCCCCCCTGAAAGCTTTTTGAGTAAAAAAAGAGTTGCCTGCCACAAACGGTTCAGTCTTAGGGCTCTGTGGAGCTGAGAAAGTGAGCAATCCAGTTCCTTAAAGCAACAAAAAACTTGTTCATTTGGATTCTCTAGGAAATTTTGGTCAAGGTAAGACTTTTAGCATACATTAAATGGATTGTGGCCAGCATTTCATTTGAGAGAACACTAGAAATGACTAAGTCTATTGGGACCAGGGACTGTTTCTCAAACTCAGACACCAAGAAGCAGGCTAGAAGACTATGCACACTGGGTTTCACGATGAAATTGTATATGTTCAGATAGGAAGATTTTTCTCCTTCCTCTCTCCCTCCAAAACACTATCCTATCTAGGTTTCTCTTGAAAGTTTATTTGGCCATCCATATGGTCTTATGATGGATAAGCCTTGCCTTCTATTCATATAGAAATGCACCTTTCTCTAAAGGTAGGGCCATTACTTACTCCATAGCCAGTGGGCCTCAAAGCAATCTTTCCCTTTTCCATCTATCATCTTCTGCCAGAGGTTTAGGCAGAGTAGCTGCTAACTATGATTCAAAACCAGGACGGAATCAAGAACTTCTTTGATGCACAGAGTGTATCAGCATTCAGCACTCATAGAAATCAGGTCATAAAAGACAGTGTCAGGAAACGGCAGGGAAACACAGGAAGGGTAAAGCTCAGGAGAGCTATAATGCAAAACTGATTGTTTAATGTCTTCCAGACTTACACTGTCTTCAAAAGGCCAAATAAATCAGGGTTTTACGTGGGGGCTTGGAGAAATAAAGAAACCTTGTTCCTATCTGTACCTTTGTTCCACTAGTTTATAGACTCTGATAATATCCCTATCCATAGATCATTGAGTATTGACTACTGTATATAGGCATCCCCACCAATTGACTATTGATAAAGACAAAGTTTTGTTTGATAATTATCATACCCTGATCTGGCTCCTTTGCTTGCTTTTCCTTGGGGCCCTGTCCAATAACCTCTGCAGAATCTCATTCCCCAATCTTTGGTACCCATTTTCCCCATTTGCAAAACAAAGACACTCATTATTAGGATCCTACAGTTGAAAGGTGCTATGTAACTCCCTAGTGCTCTTATATGTCTTTCATTGCAGGACTGGAATGAAAAGTTTAACTATAACAGCATTTCTAAGCAAACTAGTGTGCTCCATTCTTTTCTTCCATGCTCTCATTGCTGATTTGTTCTTGCAGAGTTTAAAGTACTTTATTAATGTTTTTCCTTTCATTCCAACTAGAAAGAGACAGAATAGAAATTATTTTCCCCATGGTACAGCTGGAAAAATTAAGGGCAAAAGAAATGAAGTGCCCTCCAAAAGCACATAGTTATTTGGGGCAGAACTCACAGTTACCATGTCCAGTACACTGTTAGAGTGACTTGGCTTCCGAGTACTGGAATTACCATGGAGCAGCTTAGAACACTGAGAGCAATGAGGGCAGGATCACATTTCAGAAGAGTCCCATTTTGTCCAAAATCTTAAAAGTATGCAATTTATAAAACTCATTTTCTATGTGGTAGAAATGTAATATGTGCCTCTTTCCCTCACTGGCCCCATGTGACACATATTTCACACTACATGGCATCAGCCAGTGTCATTATCTCCTCCGGCACCCATAGAGCCCAATCTCAGGGCTGTCTTTGCCAAGGAAAAGAATATGCTTCCCTATGTTTATGCCAAATTGCACCAAGTATAGGCATTGAGCTTAATGGAGATTTAAGCACAATCCTAGCAGGTATGTTTTAAGAAAATTAAATATACATTATTGTAATGTGCACCTGAAATTTTACATGGCCCAAATTCACAGGAATGTGGCAGTCTTGCAACACCTATCTTTTTCACCTCTCATCACACATACATATCTACATACAGGTGTGCACACGCGTATGCACACACACACACTGCCCCCCAAAGCAGGCTGCCTAGTCTTTAGGAGCAAATGCTTTAAAGGAATGATTCTCTGTCTTCTCCTTTTAGAAAAAAGTCCAATAGTCACTGCAAGTGAAGAACATTCCATTCACACATTCTAGAACCTCTGCTCCCAGAGTACCTGAGGTACTCAGTTGGTGCAAAAGACATGATCTGTGCCTCTATCAGAGGCACATAAGGCATCTAAAAAGATTGTCAGACACTTCCATAAGTCTCATCTTCTTAGAAAATTCATGAGCTCCATCCAATCAGTAGGAAATGGTCTATGAGGTATGGTACATCTGCATTTCTTTAACCATAGCTGTAATGTACCATATTAAATTGTAGCCTTTTGCATGCAGGTGTTATGCAATATAATAATGAATGGGTGGCTTCTACTAGCATGCAACCCATGACTATTTACTTCCCCAAAAGGGCTAGGGCTGTGTCCCACATAATGGTCAAAACTATTAAATGTGTTCTTCATAGCAGACTGGTATATGGCCATCAGCAAAATGAGTTAAAACAGACAATGAATTCAATATATCAGGAAATGGATTTTTAGTAGGGAAAACACTAAAAGAAAAAAACCCAATAAGATAAGATGCATTCAAGGAATAACTGCTGTCACTCTGCTAGCTAAATCAGCAAAGGGACACAGCAGGAAATCTGGTACTGGGTCTTGGTAATATAGGAAATGTATTGGAGAGCCATAAAAAGAAAGGCACTGGGGACCTCAGCAGTTAAGCTCAAGTTGCCATTTGCTGCAAATCCTTTCCACCAGTCTGCTCAAACTGATTGTATATAGTATTCTTAAAAACATATGTATTGCTACAGAAATATCCACAAACACTGACCAGCATTATCTTCCTATGTTCTTTATTAAAAGTATATGCATAAAATTGTCATTTCTTTTATGTATTATGGTTTTGTTAAACAACGTTGGCAAAGCCCAAAATTTCAAACCACTTTGATGGAAGTTTCTGTATATCTCAATTCATGGGGGTATAGTGGAGTTTATTCACTCCCAGGTTGATTGGTATGTGTGATATGTAGACTCCTCTGTAACATCTCATCTTCCAAACACCCATGCTCAGTATTTCTGTCTTACGTTCAAACATGGATATGAGTTGGTAAATTAGCAGCAATGGCTTTTAGATAGAAAGCTGACTTGTCTAATGGCACTTAATCATGTTCAATTTCTGCTCAGCTTCACACATCTTTTGCCTTTTCCTGTTATTGTGATAAGTAAAAAGTAAAAGAAAGAACTTCCCTTTTGTGCCTAAGGGTGATATGAACTCTGGTTTGCTTTTTCTTACACTGAAGACTATGTTTACTGTTCTCCAGATGCATGTCACCTGAAAAAAGAATATAATGATTCTGAGAAAATAACACAGTTGTCCACTTGTTCCTAAATTATACATTACCCTCAGAGAAATATTTTAAGAGACCCTTATTAAGTAAGCCCCAAATAAGTTTTCCCTCACTAGATGCACCATTTGCACAGAGTCCTTTTCAGACAGAATAGAGAAAAGCCCCCCAGTTAGCCAACAAGAAGGCAGAAGTCCACAAAAATGCAGAGCATTTAAAACTGAAGTTTGGAACACTCAGTGCTGATCGTGACTAATTAATAATGGAGAATTTGAATCACCTCAGAGATGCCCAACCTGTAAAGGTCAGGCTTAACACAAAACCAGAAAGAAGTCTTTTATTCTAGTTAAGCTTATAAAAAAAGTGCTTACTTTGTCCCAGGTAAAGACTTGAAACATCTTAGCTGAAAATCCCATTTTATTTATTCCAATGCATCAGCTACAAACAGCTTGAATTTGCATCATGAGCACACTGCAAAAAAATTCAAATACTAGAAACAAAGGACAACTAATTTCTTTCTAGATTTAAAAAAATGGCATAACAGAGGAAACCTTTATAGAAGAATCTTATCTGATTTTTTTTTTAGGAAGAT